CCTGATAAATGCTTTCATCTTAAAGGTTGTATTGCTACAATAACCCCAAAACTTAAAGCTGCTCCTTGAAACCTGTAGCCTGGCTAAAGAGATGAAGAGTGCCCTCTGACATTTCTAGGTTGCTAAAGAGCTCTCTCAGGTTCCAGTGCAAGAATTAAGATGCCCACATGCAGCTGTTCTGATCTGAATTGGAAATTACTGTAAGACGTTGTAAGTTTAAATGAATAGAGGGCAGTGCTACTCGAAAGAATTAGCTTTAGATTGAGATGAGACTGAACTCTGGGTGATGAGTCCCAACATTTTGTTCCTACCCAATTATAAAGTGTTTCTACAGGATCTTAGGAGGCAGAACTCTTATACTGCTATTTTCAGAAACAACAGAGGGTTTCACCTCCTCTGTCTGGGTATTTTACAGTTATAAAACTCCTAGGAGACTGGTAAAAAACTATCTATAGAGAGTAGGCTGAAAGTGGTGTGAGAAGCTAGCAATGACAACTGGTAGGATTTTGGCTTTGTGGAAAAAGTTTGTTTTGTAGAGATCCAAAAGAAAGTGGTTATGTTCTGAAAGTAGGTAGTGAAAGTGGCTGCGTACTGATTATGCATGTAAAAACAGTTGAAATAATGAACAATGTGAAAGGAGATGGGATGATACAAGCGGAAGAAGAATAGAATAAAGGACAAGGGAAGGGAGTGTGAGATGAACAAAGGTCGAGTTCTTGCTTTTATATCTAAGAATAGTAATCTGAGGCTTGTAGCAAACTTTAGCCGCTGTTTTAACCCAGCAGCTATTTAACACAAAAATATTTGTACACATGTAATGATTACAGTTAAGGCAGCCAGGAACTGTTCTTTCATTGCTTCTGGTAATGTGAAACAACTCCATTGATTTTCTTAAGATTTTAATGACTTCACTGCAGTTCTTCTGTTAAACTGCTATTCTAGTTTACAACCTTCTGTGTTTCCTGATCATCACCTGGATCATAGAAAAAATTTTAGTACTTATTTTTGACTGAGACCTTTGAAGCCATGCTTCCTTTCTGAAACTTTCAAAAGTGCAACCATGACAATTGCTTCCTAGGTGGGTACTATTGTATATGTCTGATATAATACATAGTTTGAATGCTGCAAGTCTGGCACAACATCTCAGAAGGAAGATAGAAAGGAAGACCTCTGACAGCAGAGGTCAACAAGGGTGATCTGAGGCTTTGAACAACAACTGTACAAGGAGATCCTAAGCAGGCTATGATTCTTTAGCTTGGAAAAGAGATGACTAAGGGGTTAGATAATAGAGGTCTGTAAAATTGTGACCAATGTTGTGAATGTAAGTAGGGAACAATTATTCTGTATTTCTTTTAGTGTTAAGAGGTAAAGGCTACCAAGTGAAATTCTCAGTTTTTTTCTGGAAGCTACATGAGTGTGCAGGGGAGGTGCCTGCTCAGTGCATCCTGTTCTCTTACTCTTCTCCAAACACTTGACCGCTGTTAGAGGTAAGATAGAAGGCTAGGTGAATTTTTGTGCTGGGCATATAATTGTTAGAATCTTAAATTTACAAGCACTGGAAATAGTTTGTAGACTGAAGGGCAAGTATAAGATTTGACCTTCCTTTTAGCTTCATTTTTAATGCTGGCTAGTTTTCAAATTCATGAGTGCCTTTAAACTTGCTTTAAAACATATTTGCCTCATATGGAATTACATGATAGCAGCAGCAGCCTTAGCTAATGCATTTATTGTTTTGTGGATTTATTAATCCTTATTTCCTGATATTTTTCTAAAATTCATCAAATATGCAGGATCTTAAGTTGCTTAAAACCCCAAGACAGAAAATGCTTATAAAAAAGAAGTTGTAGGTTCCAGTCAGTCTGACTTCAGTCAGTGCACATTGGCTATGGAATAGTTTAGGGGCAAGAAGAAAACTTGTGTTATTGTCCTGGTTGCAGCTGGGATAGAGTTAATTTTCTTCCTAGTAGCTAGTATAGTCCTGTGGTTTGGATTTAGGATGAGAATAATGTTGATAACACACTGATGTTTTAGTTGTTGCTGAGCAGTGCTTACACTAAGTCAGAGACTTTTCAGCTTCTCATACTGCCCGGCCAGCGAGTAGGCTGGAGGTGCACAAGAAGCTGGGAGGGAACACAACCAGGACAGCTGACCCAAACTGGCCAAAGGGATATTCTATAACATATAGTATCATCCTGAACAAAAACTGGGGGACGTTGGCTGGGGGGCGCAGCCGCTGCTCGGGAACTCTCTGGGCATCGATCAGCAGGTGGTGAGCGATTGTATTGTGCATCACTTGTTTTGTATGTTCTTTTATCATTATTACTATTTTCCCTTCCTTTTCTGTCCTATTAAATTGTCTTTATCTCAACCCACAAGTTTTACCTTTTTTCTGATTCTCTCCCCCATCCCACTGTGGGGGGAAGCGAACAAATGGCTGTGTGGTGTTTAGCTGCCTTCTAGGTTAAACCATGACAGTTATCCATTTTGTATTTGAAATGGTGGGTAGAAGCTCTTCTTCACCTCTTCCTGAACATGTTGCCTTCCTCTTGGGCTATAATAATCTACTTCCAGTTGACTGATCATATTGCTTTTTGCCTCTGTTTTTGGAAGATGTTCTCCCACCTTCTCTCAGCTTATCAGCTGAATAACCTGTCCTCCTCTATTCAGCTTTCTACTTCTCACAAGCTGTTTGAAATCTCTGCTAAGACCTCACTTTTGTCAGCTGTGCCTTTTGATATTGTTAGGACTGATGCATACCTCGGTTTCTGCCACCAATTTTAGAAGTTTCTGTATAATCCAAGAATACTGCAGAATCTGTGGTAGCCCTTCTGCCAGCTCGCTTTAGTTGTAGTAATAGCCAAGTTCAAATAAAGTGTAATGTCTTTACACGAAATGCACCCCACCATGAAACATTACTTGATCATAGGAACTTAACCTCTAGATCCTGCTGTTTAACTTCATTCTTTATATACACCTTTAGTTGCAGTGTCCTATTGTGGCACCATTTCACATCCCTGACTGCTTTACTTTCAACTAATTTCCAGCATAGCTAATTACAAGATGCGTTTGAAGGAGTGTCCAGTGGCTGACTCTTGGTGGGACTGAGGGCCGTTCTGTTCATTTCAGGTACTCTTTGGCACTGCTGATGGACAGGTTATTGTCATGGACTGCCATGGCCGAATGCTGGCCCACGTGCTCCTTCACGAGTCAGATGGCATCCTCAGCATGTCCTGGAACTACCCCAGCTTCCTGGTGGAGGACAGCAGCGAGAGCGACACGGACTCCGACGACTATTCCCCACCGCAAGGTAGTGTTGTGTGCACGTCTTTCTGTTTCAGCTTTGCAAGCGCTCACGAAGACATCTTGAATGCCAGGGAGTTGTCATGCTGTACTGAAACAGCAGGATGGCCACAGTTTCAAGCTGGTAGAGGCTGAAAGATGGTGCATTCCTGTGGAGGTAGCATGGGGGATGGAGCAGAGGGCTGGTACGGGAGAGTGGGTTCATCCCCAGCTCTGCCACCAGCCTCTCTGCGTGGCTTGCTGCAGGTCATACCTCATCTGTGCTGCTCTGCCTGTGCTTGCACAAATGAGATAACAACACAAAGTTTTTAGTGAGGGTGAGTAAAAAACACTAGATAGGGGCATATCAGGTTTCATTGATAAGCAGATGTGAGGTATTGCAATGGTCCACATATATGGAGGTAGTCAGAGTGCAGTCATAGAAGTTAATGCGTTATTACATAGATTCATGTGAAAAGACACCAGTACTATCAAATCGGAAAGTACTACATCTTTAATTTTAAAGAAATCCTGTGAGACAGAGATAATGCTCATCCTTATAGTCCCATCCTTGATAGTCCTGACATAAAGAGTTCAATAAATTCCATAGAAGGATTGGAGATGAAAATATTTCCTCCAATTACACAGGGTAGAAGGGTGACTGGAGCTGTCTGGAGTTACCAATTCCCTTGCTTCAGAGCACATTGCCAGTTGGAGGGTCAGGAAGAAATCCTTCCCTCCCCTTAAGTATAAATATAACTCATTGGGTGAAATGTTTTGGTTTTAAACTCTTTGGAAATCATCAATAGCAAAGATCTAGGAGGCCTAGGTATCCATGCACAGTCAGCCTCATCCTTCTTATGCAAGTAATGCTAATACTTCTTCTTGTTAATGCTGTTGATCGGTCTATAAGATCTAGGTAAGCTGTTTCTGTGTTTCAGTGTATAAAATCTGAACTAAATTAAGAACTAAATTAATATAACAGTGATTGTACAATGAAAACTTTAAATTCATAATAGCTAGAAATAATTCTGAATTTGCATCTCAGATCTGAACCACTGAATTGAGGACTCTTGCAGTTTTAACTCCAATTTTGATTCAGTCCAAAAATCTACCTTTTCCAGAATCATGTATATATATGTCAATATAATATGCATATGTATTTAACAAATAATGATAGAAGATAATGTGATCAACTGGTAAAATGTTAGCATCTTTTAAAACGGACTTTTGTTTTGGTTTTCTTGCCTCACTTTTGGTACTGGGTGAGATTTCTTACCTTAGAAGAAAAGAAACAAACTTCAAATTTCCTAGCAAGCTTCTAAAGCAAGACAGAGAACAACATTAAATTGGTTTTTCGAGATTCCAGTTGGAGGATGGTGAAGTTGCAGAGTACACAGATGAGAACTTAAATGATCCGAATATGCTAGCTTTTTCTGAGTCGATCAGGGTGTGGGTGGACTCGTTACAAGCCTACAAGCCTATTTGAATGATTACCCAAACATGGTGTGTTTTCTTTAGAGCAGATGCAGCATAAACCTCTCAAAGGTGACAAGCCTTTGACTCACACAGATGTGTAGGAAGGACTGGAAGTTTGATGGGTTTTTCTTATCAACTTATATGCACACAGAGATGCTAATTACTGGACATCTTTCTCCAAAATGCTTTCTGATCAGCTTCTTTACAAGTTCAGGCTTAACTGGCTGTGCCATTTTTGTTGACTGAAAAGATGCTGGTTGGGCCTTGAGAGGCACTTTATCAGGGGCCAGTGGCATCTCCTGTCAGAAATTGTAAACAAAAAGAGTTAAACAGTGAATGCTACAGATGGCGATATTGGTCATTAAGTATTTGAACAAGGGAATTTCAGTGAATGCTGAAAAACAAGCCCAGAGGAGCAGAGACTTTGCAGAAATGGTTTTTAAAGCCAAGTGTTCCATTTGGGCTCATCTCTACCTTTGAGTGCATTGGATCCTGTTATGCAGGATGGCAGGTAACTTCTCATGCTGCTGCCTAGCTTTTGACATTTAGAATACAGTAATTTGTGAAAGGTCAGTATGTTCTCTTAGACATTTTTATAACGTCTTATAATGTATCTAACAAATAGCTTTTAATGTAATTATATTGTTTATTACACTGGTTTTCAACTTGGGTCCCGAGGAAGCCTTCCAAAGCATTGGTTTTCAATTTGTGGACACTCTGGGGAGTTGACAGTGGAGAAAGATTGAAAACCACCACTGTAGAACATAATAGTATACGCATAAATCACTTTGGATGTACTGCAGTAAAAATACACAAAGTAAAAACATTGGGGTTTCAGAAAAACAGACAAACTAACTAGCTAAACCTGTTTTGCTTTTGCCCATAGATGTTGCAGAAATAAACAGGTAGTTTGAGGCTTGGAACCACTCCTGATGGCGGTAGGCTGAAGTACAGTGTATTTCAGCCTGGATGTAATTACTTCTGGTTGTTTGCCTTTTGCTCACTCCAGAGCCTTGTTTTTGCAGATGGGCCAGCTGCGTATCCTGTCCCGGTGCAGAACACCAAGCCACTACTTACTGTCAGCTTCACATCGGGAGACATCAGTTTAATGAACAATTATGACGACTTGTCTCCTACTATCATCCGCTCAGGGTTGAAAGGTACAAAAGGAAGCCATTTCACCCCCTTCCTATACTCTGATTTTCTTGTCTTTTTAATGATGTGTGTATAGGTTATGTTTTTGCAGTCGCCTCTGCTAATCCAGAAGCACTCGGCCACTGTTATTGCCATTTCCAGCAGTGACACCTGCTGGTGGAAGAGCAGCGCTTGGCCAATAGAGTTTTTGTGTTTGAAAAAATGTTTAAATTTTGGAGATCGTGGTTTTATGGCAGTTTTTCAGCTGAATGTGCTAATATGTTTATGCTTCTTTGTGTGAATGCCTTTGCTACGTAACACTTCCTTTGCATCTTTAATTCACAAGGTCTCCTCCCATGCTTTTGGTGACCAGGTATGAATCGCAATGCTGCTTTGATTCCCATAAATTTTGAAAACTTGCTAGAATTATTAATTATCAGGAGGCAAGTTATTCTGAGAGAAGGAAAATTCCACTGATTAATTACTATACGTCTTGCTAAGTGATGTGCATGAATGTTTGTATGATCAGTATTCCATGTAAAATCTTTAATTCACATTGAAATTTTTACTGTTCTTACCTATCAAAAAAGTTCCTTACTTTCCCAGCACTCTCAGTACAATTTACGGTGCTTTGCCTGCAGAGATGTTTTAATTCACTATGGCATATAAGCACATACTTAAATACAGGTTCCATTGATTCAGTTTCATCTCCACAGGTAAATTAGTTTTATATTAGATGAAAAAAAAAAAATTAAGCTGTTGGAGCAGACTCTTAGCTGTTCTTTAACAGTGGGATATTTTTGGCGAAAAGTTGCCCTAACATGAACCCAATAGTTTTTGGGTGATCCACTATGTAGGATAGTCTTAGGAGGTAAAAAAATCACCGTTGAGGTTTCTTTTCCGCTCCTGCTTCCATCTGTGCCAGCACAAGAAGTGCGTGGCTGGTAAAATGTACCGTCATGAGGCAACGCTATGATCCAGAAAACTTCTTCAGCCGAAAGGACACCTGAAGTCTGGGAAACTGGAACTAATTTAGAGAAGCTCTTGTGATATCCACTAACAGGTCTGCCCAGCATCTCGACAGTATTATAGTGATTAGGGTAAGGAGTAGTCTTGAGTTGTCATCTAGTCTAGCTTTCAGGTGGAAACAGTAGGAAAAACAAACCCCATCTTATTCTCTGTTTAGAGTTGCAGAGTTGTCTAGATAGTCTAGATAGAGTTGTCTCTATCTTGCTGAGGATGTCTATCCTGTTTCTCTGTCCCTATTGACTTTCACTAATGGAAGAAAGATCCCTTAATTACATCACCCTCCTCTAGCAAAATACTAATGTGCAAGCTAGAGTAGAAGTATTTCCATTAATTATAAACTGGACGACATCGTTTTCATCAGTAGACGAAGAATATACAACATCTTACTGGATTGGGAGTGTGTGTGAGACAGAGACAGAGAGAGGTGATTGGGATATCACTGTCTTGTTTTGAAGCATTGTACAGTGGAAAGTATTTTAAATATAGTTTTATATAGACATACACATTTTCTATATCTTCTTAGCAAATTTTTTCAAGTGACTGTAATTTTACTGTTTTTTATCATATGCAAGAATGTGCAAAACTACCCAGCTCAGGGTCCCCATCCTCTCCCGCCACTTGGTATTCTGCTGAAAGTGAATGAATGGTCTTCAGTATTCTGTGCGAGTCTTAATTCATGTGTTTCTGTTTGAAATCAGTAAGTATTGCTTTGTGGTCTCTGCAGCAGATGCCCTTGTCTTTATGGGCTGCTGTAGGCTACCCGATGTATTTTTAAAGTGGGCAACTACAAAACTGTTTCAAGCATTACCAATATATTTTTGCTGTTCTACTAGCTTTGCATAGCTGTCATTTTACTGGGAGTATTCATATTAAATTGATGCAGAAAAACATTTGCTGTTGGATGAGAATTTGATTATCCAAATACAAGTTCTTCTTTTCATCCAGCTTGAATGCTCCTGGAATTTTTATCAGTTCTAGTGGAGGTCCTGAACCTTTCAGTTGTACCCTTTCTTTTTTTACACTTTTTAACTCAGTGACTCTTTTTTGAACTGCATCTACTAGTTGTACTAGTTAGCTACAACTACTACCCGCAGAGCTATTGCACATTTAGAGTGCTATCTATTCAAGGTTTGCTGATATACATGCCTGTAGTGGCTGGCAAGTAGTTTTGAGCGATGGCTCTGATCCACTGATTCACTTGCAGACCGCTACCCTAGATGAAACCTCCATCTGATTTCTAATCTCTGTGCTTGTGCTGAGACCTAGTTATCAGTTGAGCTATTTTACGTCAAGGTTTGATAATCGTTGAAGACCCTGTTAGCAGTGCAAGCGTGCTGTAGAGCCACGCTGTCCCGGGGCGATGCTGCAGCCCGCATCCAGCCCTTCGCTGCCTTTGCAGCAGCCTAATTCTAGGAGTTTTGAGAGAGAGAGAGAAAACTGCTGGACACATTAATCACTCCTCTTCCTCTTGGTATGGGGATCGACTGAAAGTTTTACCTGAAGACATGTATCCCAGGGAGACTGTTTTTTCACTTTGGTAGCTGTGTAGTTAATCCAGTTACCAAAAGTGGAGTTGATCAGCTTGCCTCATTGATTTCTAACCTGCCTATCGTTATACTCTCTGAGAAAGATGAATAAATCACATTGTAGATTACTTAGAGGGCTGAGGACTAAGAGAAAAAAAGAGGCATACAATGCCTCACTGTGGAAAAATTCATAGAATCATAGAATCATAGAATGGTTTGGCTTGGAAGGGACCTTAAAGATCATCTAGTTCCAACCCCCTTGCCATGGCCAGGGACACCTTCCACTAGAGCAGGCTCAAAGCCCCATCCAGCCTGGCCTTGAACACTTCCAGGGAGGGGGCATCCACAGCTTCTCTGGGCAACCTGTTCCAATGCCTCACCACCCTCACAGTGAAGAATTTCTTCCTTATATCTAATCTAAATCGACCCTCTTTCAGTTTAAAGCCATTACCCCTTGTCCCATCACTTCATGCCCTTGTAAAAAGTCCCTCTCCAGCTCCCCACCTCTCTCAGCCTGTCTTCACAGGAGAGGTGCTCCAGTCCTCTGATCATCTTCGTGGCCCTCTTCTGGACTCGCTCCAACAGGTCCGTGTCCTTCTTATGTCGGGGGCCCCAGAGCTGAATGCAGTACTCCAGGTGGGGTCTTACAAGAGTGGAGTAGAGGGGGAGAATCACCTCCCTCGACCTGCTGGTCACGCTTCTTTTGATGCAGCCCAGGATACGGTTGGCTCTCTGGGCTGCAAGTGCACATTGCCAGGTCAGTGCTGAGCTTCTCATCAACCAACACCCCCAAGTCCTTCTCTTCAGGGCTGCTCTCAATCCATTCTCCGCCCAGCCTGTATTTGTGCTGGGGATTGCCCTGACCCATGTGCAGGACCTTGCACTTGGCCTTGTTGAACTTCATGAGGTTCACACAGGCCCACCTCTCAAGCCTGTCAGGGTCCCTCTGGATGGCATCCCTTCCCTCCAGCACGTCGACCACACTACACAGCTTGGTGTCATCAGCAAACTTGCTGAGGGTGTGCTCAATCCCACTGTCTATGTTGCTGACAAAGATGTTAAACAGCGCAAGTCCCAATACTGACCCCTGAGGGTCGTATTATTATTACAAAAATTATATTATAAAAATTATCTTGAGGAACATGCGTCTTGCCTCTGATATGTACAGAAGCATAATTCCCATGAGAAATATCAGAAAGTTGAAATAATACAAAACCATTTTAAATTGCACATAAAAGTCCCTGAAAATGACAAGTTGACAACTTGAAACAATTTTGAGATCCTTCCTGCCAACTCTCATTTCTCTCCTGCTTCTTCATTTGAAGACAGCTTCTCGCCCACAAATGTCTTCAAAAGGTTCTTGGCAGATCGAGCATCCCAGAGCACAAAAGTTTTGTCTTTACCTTCACTTCGTCTCAGCACAAAATAGCTGCCTTTTACCTCTGGTTTAAGAGTAAAAAGGTTTAAAGACTATCTCAGTATTCCTTGCACGTGCAAATCTGCCTCTGAAACACAAGCAGAAACACAAAATACTGGTTTAGTGGTCTTGTTGCAGTGTGACAAAGAGCTGGAGATACAAGGGTTTGAAATTAGCATCCCCAAATTAAGCTGTGGGCGTTCCTCATCATGAGGTGCCTGTAGGAGAAGTAACTGATATGTATATTCATATCCATTTATATGAGAGACTAAGCAATCCCTGTGTGCTTCTGGCAATCTCCTGCTAGACAGATGAGTAGATTTTCACGAGTCATGTGTCAAAAGAAAGCCTATGACATGGAGGCCATCTGTATTTCTGGACGAAAGTCCAAAAGTCTTTCTAGTTTGGTGTTATACTAAAATATAACTCTAATTTGAGTCATACTAAAAGTTACATTCACTGCCAGTGAGAACATAAGGCATTGCCAAATATGCTGCTTTTTTGCACTGTAGGCCTTTCCAGACAAATACTCTTTGCGGCTGTCTTAGTCAGTGAGGTTATTTATTTGCATATTAACTTAATTCCAGTTATTTACCCCAAAGATGTGCCTAGGATCTTCCACATCAGTTTTAACATCTCTAATAAATTCTTGTACTTAGGTACTTAGGAGCAACCACTGATTACATTCTAGACTCACCACAGAGAGAGAAAAATGAATGGGTTTTACACATTTTTTGCAATTTAGAAAACAAACAGGAAGAGTCATTCTCAGAAGTGCATATGTGGCATATTTGCTACTATTTCGATGAAAGGATTTAGGTTTCTAAGTACTTAAGTAACCTTTGAGAGCATGATTTAGCTGTTCAAGTCACTTTGCGGCATCTGGAAACGCTGTTCCTACTGATTCTAATCAGTAATTATTGCAAACTGTCTTTGCAATTTCAGATGTGGTGGTACAGTGGTGTACACAAGGGGACCTACTTGCAGTAGCAGGCATGGAGAAGCAAAGCCAGCTAGTTGACCTTGGCAATGGTTCCCTGTTGAAAAGCGCACTTGTCAAGTTCTACAATGTGCGCGGGGAACATATCTACACTCTGGAGACACCTGTGCAGGTAGGAGGTATTTTTTAAGTCAGTTCTCAATGCTTTGCTGACATGCTTTTCCCACATCAGCTCTTTGGCATAGACCTGCAATGCGAAACGGTTTACAAAACGTCCTGAACACATTCTAAAATATGATATAGATAAAAATGCACTATAAATGATAATTGTTTGCATTAAGGTAGACATCCAAGAGTTGCATCTGATTCTAAGGCCCACTGTGCTAGGTATTGTGCAAATATATAATGGGAAACAGTCTGTTTCCCAAAACCATTGGGCCATGAATGGGCAAGATAGAAAAAGGAAATTCTGCTGTTTTATGGATAAGTGGCTGAGGAGAAAAAACTGGATAACTTGCTTGACCTTGTAGCAGAACCAAGAACCGGACAAAAATATTCCAAGTCCAGTGTCATAACCACAAGATTATTCTCTCTTTGTTATTGCTATAATTTTCTAATGTACAATCAGTGGATCTGATGCAATATTTTACTTTTTATGGCATCAGATGGAGAAGGATGAATCAGAAAGTCTTGTTTCTGTTCCCACCTTCTGTACAGTCTTTCACTGTAACCTCGGTCATGTTACTTGACAAGTAAATGTCAACACATGGTCTGTGTTCTGCTTAGGAGCACAACATGCTTCATAGGTCTTCGCTGATACTTCAGAACCCAGCTGAATGTCACTTTACAGTTTATTTCATCTTCTGCAGAATAGGGATGACTTTGTTCTGATTTCTGACTGTACTAATGAAACTTAGTTAATTTATAATAGCTTTGAAATCTAAAAGTGAAGGAAAATGCTGTAGTTATGTTTACTTAATTATGTTTAATGATGATACCATTTATTATGATTTCTTTTTCAGTACCCTGATCTGGGATGGATACAAAAGGATGACGTAGTAAACCAGCTGCTAAGCTTTTGTGTTTGCTTATATTTAGCATTAACCTGTGCTTATTAACGTTAGCACTCTAATTTAGATAGAATTCTTTAGTTTTGTAATGTATGAAATAATGTTCTCTAAAGCCAACCTAAATATGTACAGTGACGTCTAATGCTGATTTAGGTGTCTAAAGGACTTACCCATACACACAGCTTTATTGTCTTAAACATAGCCCTTTCAGCTAAGTAGCACAGCCCTTTCCTCTCTGGATCGATTCTGGAAAAAACAATATTTATACCGGTGTTGCTTATTCCCGGACCAGGTAAAAACCAAACCTTGTTCTGTTACTTCAGTACCAGAATACTGTCTGTCCATGTTAGCTGTTGAACCAGTGTAACACCCTGGTGTCAAGTTGTGAGATCAAGCTGTGGTTTGAGCAGTGGAACTGGTGGGGTCAGGTTGCCTTAAGGTGTGCGTGTGTGCAGGCTTGTCTCATACTGCTCTCTCCCCCACTTTGTTCCCAATCGCCTCAAATGCCTTCATTTCCTCTAGTTCTCCCTATATCCCATCAACTTCTTTTCATATGTGCAGCTCTTCTTTCTCCTCCACTTAATCAACTGGGAGAAAGCACATATTGTGGCTGACGTGAGGGCTAACTATTCTGCTGTTACGTGAGTACTTATAGGACAACTGACAGGTCATACAGAACAAGTAACTGCCAAGTTCATACTGCCGTATTTCTCATAGTGAAAATATTAACATGAGGCTCTCTGCTCTTTCCAGTTGCTAATTTTCACTGCAACTGCAGCATTTTAGCATCATGGAGATTTCTTCCCCCTTTGTCAACCTCAGATGAAAAGCCAACAGCTTCATCAGTTGTAAACCAGGTTGGAAGTGAAGGTTGGGGAGGTGGCAACCACCAATTAATAACGCAATCATGGAGTCTCATTTCCTTAGGAAACCAGGGTAAAATAACATTCAAACTGATGTATTTATGCTTATTAAAAAACTGTGTGCATAAACCTGCCTAAAATTAGAGCCACGCCTCTTCTCTCATTAGTTAGTGTTTATTCTCTTTATTTAGTGCATTTAAATTCCTATTTACTCAGCTGCAGGAGGAAGTGAGGGGGTCTTTCAGAAGGACACCTGTATCTGCTCATGTGGACTTTATGCTTCTATGTATTTGAATGCTGGTCTAACGGTATTACCAGCTAAGTGACAGGTATGCTAGAACATTGCTAAGTATTTGGTTTACTAATAAAACCAGATAAAAAATGCTGTCCCCCCAAAAATTGCTAGTAACTTTTGTTATTCTGTGTCTCTGCTCCAAAGATGTATATGCAAAGATGACAGAGTGCGTCGGTGGTCCCAATAATTTGTCTGATGACAAATTCATCAGAGTAAATTAATTAGTTTTCTGTACCATGACAGTCAGCCTTGTAATGGGATTTTGTAAAATTCATCATTGGTTACTGAAGAAAAGAATTGAAGAAAAGAATTTCCTCATCTCTAACTCTTCTGATAAAACTGTCTCTTCTGAAGCAAGCAAATGTGTGACTGGAAAAGCACGTTTATTCTAAATGAGCATTGTTCTGAACATAAAGGTCAAAAAAAGTAAAGCACAACGAACATAGAAAATAGTGGATTACAGGTGCAAAACTAATTTTCCATGTGGTTCTCTGTCCCAATTCTTTGATAAAGCAGATGTCTGAAAATTTTATCAGTAAAATATACTGAACTGTTTTTGTTTCTGCTGTTTGTCTCTCCTGTCTTTGGTAGGATATTCAGGAAACAAGAGATTTTATAGCTTAAAACAAAACTCAGTCTAAAACTGACATCGGATTTATACGCAACTTGGCTGGAATGTTACCTAACATAAAGTCACTGCAAACCCCAAGGTAGAATAGATTTGGGTACTGCAGGTTACTCATCTTGATGATGACTGTTGTCATGGATCCCTTCAAGGTGTTTTATATGCCACCTTCTCCTCCAGCTTTAGTATGGTTTTGGCATCCTCTGTCTCATTTGATTAACTCGCTTAAGCTCTTACCTTCAGTGTAGGATTTTATGGTTCATAAACCTAGTTTGATGACTATAAAACCCTAGATAGGGAAATCACACTCGTTTAGAAGTATCCAACAAAGCTTCAAGAAGAGTTTATTTTCTTACAGAAAGAGAAACAAGAGCAACAGTTTAGAACTAGCTGGTGAAACATTTTTGGAATATCAATACGGACCTTGATGTTTTCCATATAGGCCGTAAGATCATCTCTGACTGCTGCAGAAATGGGTCACGATCAGGAGTGGAAAATGGAGACACTTGTCTAAGCAAAGACTCATTCTGCTAAAATGAAATCTCATTGTTGTATTGAAACCTAAAAAAGAAAATAAAGTTACTGTAGAAACAGGGTATAAGGAACGTCTGCAAATCAAATAAGAGTTTGCTGCATGAAAAATCATATAAGGCCACAGCAGGGTAATTTCTGTCCCCGTCAGTCTTCTTTGTTTTTATCACCATCAATTCTTACTAGTTAATATTATTCCCACTGTAAATATGGGGAACAGAAGAATGAAGAAGTTCCGTTACTTTCCAGCAGCCATCCATGAATGCTGTGGCAGTACAGAGATGTGCACACACAGTTCACAAGAGCTGGTTGGGCACTGCAGCCGTTGCACCTTCCAGCTTCTCTCTGAAAAAAGCAGAGGGAAAAATGCATGTCTCCACATCAGCAGTCTAAAGTGGGAGAAAGCAGGCAACGTATGTCGGAGTTTTACTTACACATACCATTCACTAGATACTATTTTGCAGTTGGGTTCTTTCTCCTGAGAAGAATCCTGCTTGTTGCTGAGCTTTCTGCCCTGGAATACCATTTTTATTTCATTACCAGTGGGACTCCAAGTGCCAGCAGACAAGGGATTAGTGCAAGCAGCAGGCAGGCCCCATGGCTCAGGATTTCTGAGCTCAAGGCAGGCAGCAAGAATCAGCTTGAACAGTGTTTTCATTGGCTGAACTGCATACAAGTGAGGAAAGGTACATAAATTATGTTCTCTCCTGTAAGAGAGACAGATGAGTGACTTATAAGAAGCAACCACAGAGCTTGAGCAGGAATATCCATTCCTGCGTGCTTTTCTAAGGGGAGTCGACACCCCACCTGCAGGTACAGATTTGAGTAGATGTAGCTGACTTTGAAGCCCACGCTGAAAAAAATGGCAAAAGAGCTCCTCGTTGGCCACTTTCTGAGATGTGTTTTCAGTCAATATTTCTCCTGATAAAGCATCTCATTTTTTTGTCCTTTAGCCAGTTATTTCTGATATATAATTGTCAGAGAGCTGAATCCTATCTATGTGTAGAAGTTCAAGGGGTTTTCCAGGATTTTTTTTTTCCTACATGTTTGTATTTAAACCCTGGAATTCATTCAGGTATTTACAGTTTGTTCTGAGATTTTTCAAAACCTGATGGGATTTTTATATGCAAAGTGAGATTAGAAATTATCATTAGATGTTATATTTGTAGCTGCATTTCCTTGTTCCTAGCAGAAAAAACCAAGTGTGCAAACATGGAGACTAAAATTCTTCTGTGCTAGAACCTGCTTGTTCATTTTCTAACAGGTGCGATATGGGTATCAACAACTTTTTTCCTTCCATTTTTTGCTAAAACAACGCAAATAAGTGGATGCTTTATAAGGAGCAATACTTTTGCATTGGATGTTGGAGTTCAATTGTTTTTTCTCAGCAGAGTTTAGAAGGAAAGCTGTGGCCAGCTCATAACTGACTTGCTGCAGTAATTGATTCATATCCCTTGTCCTTCAAGGGGAAGAGAAGCATAGTTTTTGAAAAATATTATTGGAGCAGTACATTTAAAGGTCAGGTCAGATCTGGCATTTGGATGACCTTTATTTTTCCAAGCCTGTAATGACAGGGTAATTTTCCCTGAACCTTCACATCTTAAACCTTAGCCCTTCACCGTAAACGAAGTATTGCTGGATATTAGGCTTGAGGAGTACTGGGGGACCGACCATTCCACAGAAAAGGAAGGCAAGGCGTGTCTGGTGAATCAGTAAGCAAAGAGAAATCAGTATGGTACAAGCGCTCTTTGATGAGATTGAAAATACTAAGATTAAAACACGTGAGGTGTGTGAGGAGACTAAATCTACAGATGTAGGAGTAGAAATGTTGTGATTTACAAACAGTACAACACTTGTAGGTATTGGGTGCATGTATTTAAATATGCACCGACTCACATATTGTTTACATGAAAACACATAAACAGAATATAAGTGAATCAGATGTTCAGAGGTTTAGAAGATAGCTGAACTATGGTTGCCTGTTGGGAAACTGCGGTGAAATCATGCAGTGAGGCAATGTATTTCGACTTCTAACTTTCTAGCCTTCCCCAGCTCCACAGTGCTGTGTTGCCAGAGGTCCCACCCAGTGTTTCAAAGTTCCTGAAAAACCTGTTCCTTGGGAATATGTTTAAGATTGCAAAGGTTCTTGCACTGGTGCTATCTGTATCTCTGCTGTTCTCTGCATGCGGCGGTAACCTGAGGAGAGAAGTGGTTTCATTTGACTCTATTTGGATGAACAGAGGCCTATCTGGGTGTGATATATTGGTTATAATAGCTGCGATGCTAGACTTCATGGTAGGGCTATCTGGGTGTGCTGTATTGGATTATGATAGCTGGGATATTAGACTTCTCTTCTGGCATTAAACTCTATCCAATAAATAAACATTTGCGTGCTAAGTCACATGCTTGTTTGTTCCTTCACCGTATTTATAGGTAAGCTTTCGTTGATTCAAGCTGAACAGAAGGATGCGGTTTGGATCCCATGCTCAGTTAACGCTCAGATAGATAGTTATGCCCATGCTGGGTTTCAGCTCTTGGGGAAATCAGGGACACTTCTACTGGTGCCTTTTTCAGGCTGTCTTATAGTAGATGTGGCAGGTACCTAACTTGTGTCAGTGCCTTTTCAATTGCATGTATTTTGCAAGCAGCTTGAACACTCTCATTACTGCCAGACAGTGTGAGGGCTGAGCCACACTCTCCAATCATGAAGATACCAATCAGTCAGGGATACTTTATGTGATTTCTCACCAAATTTAAGGCTCTGTCCCACAGATTACGGTTATGACAAGCCATGTAATTATTGATGGTACACAAAGGATTTCTCAACTCTTTTGAAGTTCTCCACTACAAAATGCCTTTCGTAATTACTGTGAAAATCACAAGGTTCGCATGTTTCTGCTTTCTATTTGCATATCAGTCAGCCTAAAGGTTTGTGCCTCTGTGGAAGTGTGCATGTGTGTGTGGTGTTGCCTAGATGTAATGAAAATGAAGCTTCTTCATTCCTCCCACTTTAAAACCAGTAATTTCCTTGAAATTTAAATCTAGGATAAGATGACATGGGAGGGAAGATCTTTTCTCTGAAAAAGTTGTTTCGTCCAACCCTTTATCTCGGTGATAGACATTGATATATTGCTGTGCAGCTGCATTTTGCTTCATCTCATTCACATAAAAACATCTTGTCCCAGTTTCTCACCTTTAAGCATCTTGAATTTGTAACTGAAGGGAAAGCTTTTTTCCCCAGACTAGATTAGTAACTTCTGGGCTGATCTAACCCAGCTGTCTGGGTACCGTATTACTAGAGAGGAGTGGATAAAAGTTACTACTGATGATGCCTTGACCTTTATCTTCTGTATAGTTAATTATTGTTTGGTGCATTTTGTGAAGAGCAAAGATATTCCAAAGAGACCCTGACCTTTCAGTAAATACAGTTCATAATTTAGATGAAAAACACATTTGCTTAAACTTTTGAGTGTCACGGATTGTGAAGAGAAGGGAGACCTTCACAGGAAGGAGTAAACCTTTTGTGGTTCACAATTACAGCCTGCTGCACGGTATTCTTCATGGAGTGAGAGTTTCTTCTTTACTCTGTGTTGTTTATTTGTAGAGATAGCAGCTGCGGGATTGAAATTCCGTACAGTATGTGTATATATGCAAATACAGATGCTTTGTAACACAGAAAGCAAGAGATGACAGGTGGATGCAGCTAACGCTCATGAAGGGTAAAAGTAATAGTGATAGGGCTATAAGAGGTCACAACAGACTGGTGCTTTACATGAAAAAGATGGGGTTTAGAAATAGAGTTGAGAGAGCTCCTTGCAAGCACAACTCAGTATTCTCACAACTCTTAATGTTCATGCAGCAGGGAATAATGTCCAAAGCAGCATTTGAGTTGTTTATTGTTATTCTGCTCCGCATTCTGACACTTAGTACCAGTCACCCCTGACTCTCTCTGTTTTTACTGTCATGAATTTAGACGTTTCTGAGTGTAGACAAGCAGAAGACAAAAGGCCATTCTCTGTTTTGTTCCTGGTGCTCTTTCACAGTTCAGCTTCTCTGGGAATAGTCAAAAGAGACACTGTGCAGCAGAAGACTCAGTGCAAGACAAGAAAGCCAATTGGGTTTTGTCCACTAGTTTACTAAGTGTCTCTGGGCATATAATTTAACTTTTCAGTTTTAAAATGTGAGCCGTTCCCAGTGGATGAGGATTGATTAGACGACTGAAAAAATCATCTGGGTAGGGCATCAGAAGATCCTGCTTTTTAATGCTGTGTGACTTTAAAGTCACTTATCCTATCTAGGTAATGAATTTGATAGACAATTCCTTGTGTGAAGAGCTTTAAGCCTTGTGAGTAAAAAGCACTGTATAAACATCAACCACTGTACTGATAATTTCAGATGTTCACATTCTTCTCCCTTTTTGTGGGCAATAGCATGCACTTTTAAGTTTCTGGAAGACTTAGGGTAACATGATCGGTGCTGAATTCATGTGATCACTTGCTGTGCAACTATCTTGGAGAAAGTGCAGTCTCTTCTAAAGTTGTATCCTTTCCCTCTCCATGCAGCGTCCCATCATCTCGATCTGTTGGGGTCACAGGGATTCGCGCCTGCTGATGGCTTCCGGACCTGCATTATACGTCGTCAGAGTCGAGCACAGGGTCTCCAGTCTGCAGCTGCTGTGCCAGCAGACCATCGCTAGCTGTCTGCGGGATGACAAGGATATCAGCAAACTGACCCTGCCCCCTCGGCTCTGCTCGTACCTCACCACTGCCTTTATACCAACAATCAAGGTAAAATGAAAGAAACGTGTGTGTGTGTGTGAGGAAGAGGAAAGGGTTGCTTGATTTCCACCCCCATGGTGCTCCTAAGTGACAATGGTTAAATTATAAGATATTATAATTAACATAATTATCATTTTAAAAGCTTGATTAAGGGTCATTCCTGTCCTCTTCAAGAGCCCACTGATCCATTTGGTGCCTATTAAAATCTGAAAAGAAGGCTCACACATGTTGATCTGCATTATTCCATGGGGATGGCCTTCCCAAGGACATCCCAAGGGTAAAATATGCTGGTGACTCCCAAAGATTTCTGAAGAAGCTCATGCTGACAATACTGTGTCACGGTTATAGGAGACATTCACAGTGGTAAAACTGTTGCCTCCCTACTTGTTACATGAGTTCTTATACTGCCAGGAAAGTTATACTTAAGACCTGTGGCTGCCCAATTATTTCTACTGACAGTGAGTTCTGCTAACCTTACTGCTCCAACAGTGCTATGAAGAAAAGAACCAGATATTATGCTTTTTCCTGTACCACTAACAGAGCCATCTGCTCAACCCCTTTGTTTCATGGTTTTGCCCTCAGTCATATCTCAGGATTTCCGAACTCTTTATCGCAGCCTATAAACCAGAGCATTAGCTGGTAAATGCCCTACATTCAAACATATATTTTTGTGTTACGTATTTTTTGTCTATGTGTTACAGCATTCTCTTGAGCCAGTTTCAGGTCCTTGTTAAAACAATGCAGAGCTAGAATAACTAATTTGAAACCAGTGGAGTTGGCCCAGCTCAAATGAGAACAAATTATGCCTATAAAATAATGATTCAGCACAGTTCCCTTTGGGTACTGCTAATCAGGGCAGTTTGTGCCACTGTGAAACATTTCATTTGCCAGAGAAGAATAAATGCCTTGCTGTAACCATAACTCCTCTATCTCCAAAGATGCATGGTTGTTTCTAGCATGCCTACTTCTCCCCAAGATGCTTTCTGTGTTGTCCCAGAGCCACCCCTGCAGCTCTCTAGAGCATCAGTGACACTTAGCTGTTAGGGAAGGCAGGGGAGGGGAGGGCATGGGCTGGGCTGGGCTGGGATGGGCTGGGCTGGGCTGGGATGGGCTGGGATGGGTTGGGATGAAGGCAGCAGTTGGCTCTAGCAAGGCTGGGAGCTATGACGGGGATCAGAGGGGCAGAGGCAGTACAGGGGCACGTCATTGCCGACCCTTCTGTCACCTCCTAGAGTGGATGCTGGGGTGGGGAGCTGTCACAGGGCTGCATAGCTGAAAGGCTGAAGCAGGGTTCCCAGAAGCCACATGCCCCTACTGTTTCATGGGTGTTCCTGGAGCCTCCTCAGCACTGCTTTATACTTTACCCTAGCTCTCCCCCAGCCACATACTCCCACCTACATTGTCAGCCATGCCTCCAGTGCCTGGCAAGGCACCCTCTTCCCTGCATACATTCCTCTTTCCCCTCCATCTTGAGGACTACATTATAGATCATTCCTCAGCCCGTATCCATCTCGCCAGGTTAAGGAGGCTCCTTTTTTCCCCTACTTTTTTTTTTCTTGTACTTTCATTTTGAAAGAAACTGTTGACTTACACACGTTAGTAGTATTTGTGTCATACAGACTATATTGTCCTAGATGAAAGCAGTCCAACTGCTTTAGGACTGAGCTTTTCATGGATTAATACAGTGTGCTGGCAAGCAGGGGAAAGTAACCCACCATGAACTTTGTGCTCGTATTTCTCCACACTGCACGCAAATAGGCCCTTAGCAAAGATGGGTCATGTGCTTGGAAGTGATATAAGAAGTACAAGCTTCTTCCAGAGCTGAAAGCATTGTAGCATAGTGGCACAGCATGTACCAATACTAACCAGGAATGGGAACCTGAGTGACCAAGTTCACCTGGAGGGCCAGCAAGAGACAAGATACTCTGAGGCTTAGACTTGACCACATTACCCAAGTTAAAAGAGAAGTTTGTGATAGAGCTGGGACTTGAATACAGGTTTTTTGTCTAATTCAGTGCTTTAACCACAGGTCCAACCTTCCTTTTTGATGTAACTAGTTTTAGTTGTCTGTGTACAGCTGCTTTTGACCTGACTAAATAATACACAGCCACTCTGTCCTGCATGTGAGTCCTGCATAACTCACGCAGTAACCTGTACTAATCTTGACGTGCCAAGTTCAAATTCAGTTAGTTGTGTTGGGATTAAGTCACCACAGAAAAAAAAAAACAATAACCTATAGGAAACTTTCTCTTTTCTTCCTTCATTTAACCAAGCCTCCTATCCCAGACCCAAACAATATGAGAGATTTTGTCAGCTACCCAACAGCTGGTAATGAACGGCTTCACTGCACGATGAAGCGGACAGAAGATGACCCAGAGGTCGGTGGTCCATGTTATACTCTGTACCTGGAGTACCTTGGGGGACTGGTGCCTATCCTGAAAGGGCGTCGTATCAGCAAGTTGCGGCCAGAGTTTGTCATCATGGATCCTAAAACAGATGGAAAAGCAGGTAGAATTGAATTGTTGCTCTGTATAAAAAAATATTTAGAAATATCAGATATTAAATCCTCAAGAGTTAAAATCTGTATATGCAGTATGGAAGGTGGCATCTGATTTTTTTTTTTCTGATGTGAAAAAAATCTTTAGCATGACCTAGGCTCAAGCTTCTGAAATTATACCATGTCTTCTGTTTTACAAAAGGGAACTTCTTGTATTTTGAATAGTGGGGAATAGATTGCTAATTAGTAGCAAATATTCTTTAGTCTCAATTTTGAAGTCGATTGAATGCTATTCACCCCTCTGAATCATGTTTACCTGAGTTCAAACCATTGGAAATTTGGAGTTTATACTAGGCAGGGTGAAGAACGGTTAATTTTCTCTGCATAGTTTTATCTCAGCTACTGCCTGTGGATCAGATTTATGCTTCTGATGACTGATAGTTGTAATTGATATCAGTTTTCTGAAGCAGCACTTACATTTTCTGGGGCCTGTCTTGATAGATGAAATCTATGGAAACAGCTTGATTTCCACTGTGATTGACAGCTGCAACTGCTCGGACTCCAGCGACATCGAACTGAGTGATGACTGGGCAGCAAAGAAATCTCCCAAAATTAGTCGAGCTAGCAAATCACCCAAACTCCCCAGGTAATAATTTCTTGGATATTTCTTCTTCTTTTTCCCCAAATTTTCCCCTTTGCCTC